ATTCATTCGTTCTGAAAGCTCTTTCCCACTAAGCCGCTTTTTGCTGCAAAACCCCTTTGGGGTTTGCTTCATTTTGTTTTCCTCCTGGTCATCAGAGCTTTGGCCCTCAATTTTCACACATTTTGGCCGTTCTCTCACTCTCTCTCTCTCGCTATTCCAGGCAATCTTCTTCATCAACTTTTGAGTCACTCAACTTTTCATGGAAACCAATGCGGTGCCCCCCGAGCATCCTCCTCCCCACCATCCATGCATCCACCTCTGACCCCCGACTGTTGCTTTTGCGTTTTTCTCACATTAACACCTTTCCCGTCAGCAGGTTGTGAGGTTTTTCATTTTATTTGTGGATATATCTTTGATTTGATCTTTGGCAAGTTTTTTGTTTTTGTTTTTTTGTTTTTTTTTTTTTATTATTTTTTTCCCTTTAGCTGCTTTCGATGTTCGTTGGAGGAGAACTTAAAAAGCAATTTGCTTGGGGGAGCCTGAAGGCGCAATAAATAGAATACGAAATCGAAATAGGAACAAAATACAAATAAAATACTTACACACAGCACACAGATGAGCTGAGAAATAGACGAGAAATACGATTTAGCTTCCGAGTCTATCTGTGGGGTGGGTTTGGTTTTTGTTTTGGTTTTGGTTCGGGCATAATTAAGTGCAAATCTCTGGGCAAATTGAGTGTCTGTGGCAGCTGCTGCTGTTGCTGCTGTGGCACCGCCACCACTCACCTTTTTTCCTGCCCACTCTGCCTCCCCCCCACGCCACTGATTCATTGATTGAGTCAACAAACGAAAAATCATTTAGCCAAAACGAACATTTGGCCGACCGATCGTTCAGGACAGACGGACAGATAGACTCTGTGGCATTTTAACCCAATTTTTCGTTGGCTCTCTGGCAAATTGAACAACAATTTAATTGCTTGGCCCCCCATCACCACCCCAGCAACGCAGTCTCTCCTTCTCTCTCTTTCCCCATCTCTGAGGCTACCGATGATCACCGTTAACAGGCCGAACAGTTTTCGATTTTATTAATAAAGTCGTAAAATTGCAAGAGTTTATCACTGCAGCTGCAGCAGCAGCAGCAGCTCTCTCTCTCTCTCTGACTCTCTGACTCTCTCTCTCTTGTGTCTAATTCTCTTTTTTTCCGCCTAATTTCGTTGTGATTAATTTTGGACTCGAATCTCTGCGAGACTCTCATTCCCATTCCGCCAATTGGATTTTCTCTGTGGCTTCTTTTTTTTGGCACAGTTTTTCACTTTGACACGCAATGCAAGGGGAGGAAGACACATGCAAAGGCATTCGCAGAGACACAGAGAAGGAGGAGATTGGAGAGGCGGAAGTTTGGTGCAGAAAGAAGTTCTAAAAGAGAGCGAGTTTTTCTCTTCCGTTTTCAGTCGCAGCTCGCAATTCATTTCGATTGGTAGTCGATAGGTTGTGTTTCAAGCACAACTGTACTTTTGAGGATAACATTTATATATCCTGTTTGTTTGAGTGAATCCTTTCGTATTTGAATCCTGTATCTTTTCGTATCCTGCCTGACATTTGTTGACTTCTTCTACGTCCATCAATCTGCTGCTGTGGCATTCATGAATATGCAGCAGGATTGCCATTGCCACTGCCACACGCTTTTCCCTTTAGGAATTTACTTCCGTTGCTGCTGCTGCTGCTTGCTACGTGTGTGATTTACATTATAATAATTAGTTTATGTTTATTGTCTTTGACTTTGATGCCAGGACACCTCTTCCTGGCAGAAATGAAGCAACCAGAAACACAACAGGCCACAGGGAGCATTGCAATCCGAATCCCAACCTTGACTTGATTTTGAGTAACCAAAGGATGTACCCACAGTCCTGTTTTCTTTTGGGTCTCGAGATTGACTTCCCCGAGGAACTTGCTTGGTTCTACTAGTTGTAGTTTTCTTGCCTGCATTGCGGATTGCATTTCCAAGTGAAATATGTACGAGGCAACTATCCACTGGCTCGTGTGTGTGGCATGCAGGAGAAGAGCATTCCGAGTGTCGCATGTTAGATGTCAAACGATTCACAGGGGGGGGTGTAGCTCTTTTATGTTCTGTGTCAATGAATAATGAATCCGAGTCTTAATTGGGCCAGAAGCTCCTTAGCTGATTGTCTCTTAATTATGTTACCTTTGAGTTCTAGTCGGCCAACAGGTAATTCATTTGATTTCTTCTGCTGCTGCTCCTCCTCCAAGTGGATGGATCGACTTTTAATGCATCATCTTTGCATGGAATATTGGTTGTATTGTTGCCAGACCCTCCTTTGAGAGGGTATTCAATTCTCCATCTGTGGGCTCGTACCTCCTCCATGGCTTTTTTGCATTTGTCATTTCAATTAGCAATGGACCCGAGACCCGCAAAACCCCAAGATCCACGATCCAAGTAACTCTTTGTCTTTGTCGCTGTTGTCGCTGTTGTCGCTGTTTCTGGCGGCAGCTTTGGATCTGTCTATGGCTTTGGCTTTGGCTTTGGCTTTGGCTTTGGCGCTCTGTGGGTCTCTCTCCCTCGTGAGTGTGTTTTGGCCCTGTTCTGCCTTTGCTGGCCGACCTGTGGGCGTGAAATGAGTTGGCAAAACAATAAAGAACGTATGTACAGTGTACTCGGGTATATAATTTGTATAATTTAAATGTGTGCTGCCGGCAGGGACGGGAAGGGTAGGGGAGCATTAGCATTCGGCACTCGCAGAGATCTCTTGTCTGTTGTTCTGCATTCGCCATTCGGCATTCGGCATTAATGAGTGGCTCATTAATCACTCGCAATTGGCAATTGGCAGAAATGCGAGACCAAAATGAAATGGCATCGAATGGAATGAATGATTGACTGAATGACTAACCAAATGACTAGCTGAGTGGCTGACTGTTTGACTGACTGATGGACCAATAGGCTGCAAAGCAATAGTTATGCAAAAAAGCGCACGAAAACTGTTGCATGAGAGAGAATCTCGCGAGTTGCCAGTCGCTAGAGATGCAAAGATGGGAAGATGGCGACGGGAAGATGTTGGCAGAGTTGGCAGAGTTGGCGACTCCCCCGCGGGCTGTTTGCTGCCTCGCGTATGGCGTATGATTAATTTTGTTTTCGGCTCGCTAAAATCATTTTGCATTATGCAAAAAAGGAGTGGTGGAGCGTTGCAAGTGGTGGATATCTTTTTGCGTGCCATGTGGTTTCCGCTAACTGCTGCACACACACACACACACACATTTGCATGATGATAATTAATGAGCGAAACACACAAACACAAAACATGGGGCAGCATGGTGTAGGGATTGCAGTGCGTATACGTGATGTGTCGTAACAAAATCCCCCAAAACAAAACAAAGAACATCTATGCAAAGAGGATATCCATTCGAAGAGTGGGATCGGTATTTGGGGCAAACACTTCATGGAATCTCACACGTACTCGCAGTGTGTGAGTAAAATGCGAGTACTTAGATCCCCGACAACCGCAGAAAGTGGGAATTATTTGAGTAAAATGTTTAAAGTTCATGTCCAGCAAAGAGCGGGCCAAGAAGGGTGTATAAATTCTGTTCTGTGCATCATAATCGAGCTCCAACTCTGCATTAAGTATATGTAGGTAGCAGCCAGAGCACGGTAAGTGCCAAAGTGAATAGCAAGCCAAAAAAAAGACTGCAGCCAAATGAAACACTCGTCGAAATCAAAGGAATTCCCATGAATATTTTCTGCTTTTTTCGCTCAGTGCATCATCAGTGAAGGTCGCTGCTTAAGATGTGGCTGGCTGTAGGCATAATGCCATTTCTCCTTCTCCCAACTCGAAAGTTATTTAAGATTAATTATAAAAGCTCTCCGTTTTTTTGGAGATTATGTTAATCAAAGTGTATGCACAAATATACACAAATATGTTAGCCGGCAATCAACTTAAACGATGCCCAGCCCCTCCGCCCCCAAATGCTCTTTTCAATATGTGCCCCCCTTCCCGCTCTTCAGTGGAACTTTCAGGACTTTTGCCTGCCTGTCGAGCCTCCGTCGATACAAAAAGGAAAAAGTTACACAAACTCAATTTTGTAAAAGCGAATTCTGTCCTTGCCGCCACCAGCCACCAACCAACCAGCCACCAGCAAAATGTTTGCTCGTATATTTAATGTAATTTGAAGATGTTTTCACAATTTGCGCAAAATATTTATACAATTTTCTCCCTCTTTTTGAGGACACACACAAAATATTTGAAAGAGGGCTAACAAAAATATGCAATTATCACCGAAAAGAGCCTGCAGAGTGCTGCTCCAAGTGCCGGTCCATGGGTCCGTCCCAGCCACGTGATTAATGGTCACCAGGAGCGGGCACATGTTTGGGTTTAGTCTCTGAATCGGTTTCGATCTGGAATCGTAATCGGAATTAGAATTCGAATTAGAATTGCCATGGCCCAATGCTTTTGTCTTACAGCGGTCTTTGTGCCACATGGCTCGTTGTCTTTCTTTGGGCATGTGCCAGAATGTCCAACTTCGAATGATTTGATACCCTAGGAAACGCCTTACGCTTCGATATATGCCTGAATTTATCAATACGTATAGCCCCCACTGAAGAAAGGGTATTCCATTCTGCCTATGGGGCTGGCCTCTAATTCTAATGCTGCTGCTGGTCGGGTGGAGTTGTGTGGGAGGTTGCCCCATGGCCACCACTTGACAGTTAGCCCACACTCTGCAGAGCAGCAAAGAACAGGCCAGACACAGACACTCATGAGTGTGTGTTCGAGTGTTGGCCAGAACTTTGGCGCGCGGCTTTTGCACTTTGATCACGGCGAATCCCACGCCGCTAGCCACGAGCAGACATGGCCATGGCCAATTCCTGTTGGCCAACTTAATCTGCATATTGGCCCACAATTGTGGCCCACCACACAATTAACTCACTTACAAAACGTACAATAATTGGCCATTGAATGGCAGCGAACCACCGACCAAACCACTCCGAACCGACTCCCGCCATTCCCATAACTCATTCATAACACATTTCGGCTGTTCTTTTGTATCTTTCAGATGAGCATCGCATAAACTCTGGCTCATGGGAGGACACCTTGGACGACCAGCAGCAACAGCAGCATCAGACGTCTTCGTTTATCCACTCGCCGTCGTCGATCAATCCGGGGCACAACGCCAGCATCACCACAGCGCAGCTGCATAGCGCCTTCAGTCGACGCATTGCCGAACAGCGAGAGCAACGAGAGCAGCAGCAGCAGCGAGAGCAGCAACAGCAGCAGCGATCCTGCAACAATCTCAGTCTTAAAGGCAGTCCTAGCGGCAGCCAGGACAGCGGCGCCCCCACAATTGCCGGCGGAAGCTTCAGCGCCAACGGTGGCCAGGCTGCCGTTGGTGTTGGCGTTGGCGTTGGGGCAGTCGTAGGCAGCAGCGGCGCCTGCAGCAGCACCAGCAGCGAGCGAGACAACAAATCGCCGAGTCGAGATAGAGAGAGGGAGAGGGAGAGGGAAGCACCAACCGCCAGCCACTCCGACGAGGAGGTATTAACCGAGGAGGAGCAGACCAGCAGCAGCGTGAGTTCTTTAAGCGCCAACAACCAACGCAATTCGCAATTGCGTTCCACCTTCAACAAGGCCAAGCAGCATTTGTCCTTTGACAAATGGCGCACGGCCGGCACCGGCACAGGACCCGGTTCCGGTTCCGGTTCAGGCACCGCAACAGCCGGCACTTCTAGTAGCTCTGACAGACAAACCGCAGCCCCATCCACAGACAGCAACATGATTATGCGCAGGGCCAGCGCCTGCACGATGCCAGCCACAGGCGGCTCATCGTCGTCATCGCAGCGCGAGGACCTCACGACTCCCGGCGAGTCCCCAGGCGGACGTCTCTCTCGCTGGTTCTCGATACGTCGCGGCTCCACGCACCAGTACGATGTGCGCCAGTCGACGGCATCCAGCTTCGATACGCCCGATGCGGCAGCAACGGCAACGGCAACGGCAACGGCATCGGCATCGGCCGCTGGCACCACCACCTTGGGAGGATCTCCGAAAATAGTGGCAGGAGCAGCACTGGACTGCGCCTCGCCCGGCAAGCTTGCCACATTGGGAGCCAGCAAGATGATGCCCGGCGTACCTGAGGTAAGCCTACAACCCAACAACCAAGCGAAACGAGTTACTAGCAGGAGTCTCTGCCATTTGTGGTTCTCTTTTTCAGAATGAAGATGATGAGGGATCCGCTTCGGCGGTGGCCAGCAACCGCTTCGACATGGACATGATGCTGACGCCGAGCGGCAGTCGGGCAGTGGCAGCCAATGGGGGGGGCAATGCCCGTACCGCTCATGGCCGTCTCATTGTACCGATGCTGCCACCGGCACCGGCCGGACTCTCGCAGCAGCAGCTCAAGCGGCGACACATTGTGGCAGCCATCGTGCACAGCGAGAACTCGTATGTGGCTACCCTCCAGCGTCTAGTCAATGTGAGTACCACGATGTCAGAAGGGATCCAAAGGATAACAATAGAACGCATTTATTCGAGGCATAGACAACGGCATAGTAAACTTTTGTGATGTGTAGTCGAAAATCAGAAGACAACAAAATGGTTTAGAGTTCTCGCTCTCTCTTTTCCATCGTCGTTCTCCAGGCCATTCTGCTGTCTTCTGGTTTTTGTGTTCGGTCCGAAATAATTATGTGTGAGAGTGAGAGCTCCGACTAGACTTGCTCCACTTCTTCCTGTTGCTTGGAAGACTGTACGGCCCCTTGGACAAAGCACTCCTTTAAGGAGAAATGTATTGGAGGCACAACGACTAGCGCCATGTATTCTGCCAACACCTGAGACTCATTTGAGGACTGCTCTTGAGGCTCTTCCTGTGGAGTCATCTCCTCTGGAAGCTGCTTCTTCTGGCTCTTCTTTCCCAGCCGCTCCTTGAGGCTCTTCTTTTGGGAAGCTTGGGAAGCCTTCTTGAGGTTCTTCTGTGATGTGTGTTTGATGGCTGCCTCTTGCGGATGCTCCTTCTGATCTCCGCCCAGCAGCATCTCCACCTCCACCTCAAATGCCTGCTGCTGGAGCAGCTTTTCGTCGATTTTCCCACCAATCAAGTTGCAGATCTTTTCGCAATCGATCAGAAGGTTGACTTCAATGGGCACCAGCATGTAGCGCGCGCCCGTGATCGGATCTGTTTGGATTGTACCCAACTGCTGCTCGTCCTGCGGCTGAATGTGATTGATAAGCGGCCCCAAGGGTGTGGCCTTGGCCCACTTGCTGACCTCCTGCGGATCCGCCTTAGAGAACTTCTCGACCAGGACATCCTCGTAGCTGGTTACCCAGAACTTGTGCACCTCCGAGGGCTGTATCTGCAGATAACCCTCCCGTTCGCCAGCCTCCACCAATACCTTGACCTGCCCAAAGGCATCGGCAATCAGTTGCTGCTCTGTTGGATCACCCATTATGGAGTATTACGAATTACAGAAAGCAAAAAATACACAGGAATTGAATTTCTCGTGCTCGTAGTGGATGAATTGTTGTGACTGGATTGAGTGTGGGATTGCCTCTAGAGTTGGGGAAGCTTGTGGGAATGGGATACTGATTAGATTATATCTGACTTCGTCCGTTCAGGCAGCGGTGGGCAGGTCCTTGCTACACACAAGACGATGCGCACAATGATGCTTGGACTCGTGAGGCACAAGTGAATGCTGCAAAAGAGAATGAACGGGAATGTAGTAATGGCCTGCCCACCGCTGATCGAGACCCATGAAGTGCATGACACCCATATTACTCGTAGTAGTCGTAGTGCCCCCCCCCCCCATAATTATCGTATCTATCGCAACTATCGTAACCTCTGTAGCACCTGTAATTAATCATTAATCTCATGTCAAATCATTTGATCTCTTTACATGCCATCCATCCTGTTCCCATGCCATGAATCTTCGCCACTAAACCAATCTTCATAACTAACACAAAAACAATCTTCACTAACACTAACACACCTAACACCACACACTCACACACACCACACGCCCAAAAAGTAGTTGCAAAATTAGACCCAAACAAAAGAAAAGACAAACAGAGATACAGAGATACAGAGATAACCCCAAAAACCCACACAAAAATTACAAAATCACAAATCAAGAACAGATCCTTGAACTCAAGATACCCCATGGAGTTAGCTTTTGGTAAAAACCGAAATATAATTACTCTCCTCTGTAGATCCTCGATAACTAATGCAAATTAATCGCTCTCTCTCTTGCTTGTGCTTAGGATTACAAGAAACCCTTGGAGGAGTGCAATCCACCCGTTCTGAATCCAGTGAAGATCGCCACTCTGTTCCATTGCCTGCCGGACATACTGCACTCGCACAAGCTGTTCCGCATCTCGCTGGCTGAGTGCGTACGCAACTGGGACAGGGACGAGAAGATTGGGGATTGTTTTGTGAGCGCTTTTGGCAAGCCGCAGCTGCTGGAGATCTACTCTGGCTTCATCAACAACTTCTCGGCGGCCATGGAGCTGGCCAAGATGGAGGAGAAGCGCAAGTCCGCGCTGGCTGACTTCTTCAAGGTGAAGCAGATCAGCGCCCACGATCGCCTGTCGTTCTTTGGGCTGATGGTGAAGCCCGTGCAGCGCTTTCCCCAGTTCATATTGTTCCTGCAGGATCTGCTCAAGTACACACCGCAGGGCCATCACGATCGCATGTCCCTCCAGCTGGCCCTCTCCCAGCTGGAGCTGCTCGCCGAACTGCTGAACGAGAGCAAGCGCGAGGCGGAGCAGTATCAGGCCTTCAAGGAGATGCTCGGCCACATCTCGGGCACCTTCAACACGCGGGCACTCAGCAGCGTCAGCGTCACCGATGGCGGCGGTCCACGTCCGCGCTACCTTCTGCGCGAGGACAATGTCACCCACATGGAGTTCAACCAGGCCGGCCTGATGGTCAAGTGCAAGCAGCGACGGCTGCTGCTGCTCAACGACAAGGTCATCTGCGTGTCCGTCGCCCCCAAGCAATCGCACGATTTCGGGGCCACCGAGAAGCTCACCTTCAAGTGGATGTTCCCCGTCAACGATGTCGAGATTGTGGACAACAGCACATCGGCCACGCTGTCGCGTATACTCACAGCAGGTGAATACTCGTACATCCACGTACATTCTCTGTATCGCTAATCCTTGAATACCTAACTCCTTGCTTTTTACAGGTCTCAATCGCGGGGGCAGTCTCAAGTCGAACAGCAGCACTGGCGGTGCCACTGGCAGCCCCTATGCCCATGGCACGCTACCGGGCTATGGCGGAGCGGACAGCAGCTCGCCGGCAGCGGCCCTCACCAGCGGTGCCGACAACCTCTGCAGCGAGATGAGCACTTTGATGTACGACTACGAGGTGATCTCGCGTATCCACGATCTGGTGGGTAGCCTCAAAGGCAGCTACAAGGATCTGAATGCGAACACGACACGCACCGTGCTGAATGCCATACAGGGCTCCATTCAGCGCAAGGACGAGGAAATGGCATGGGTGGACTCGTGCTGTCTGCAGGTGGTCGGACGCCACAAGTCCGGCAAGGAGGAGACCTTCACATTCCAGACACAGAGTCCACACGTCAAGAAGGAGTGGATCACGGAGCTGCGTCTGGCCCAGCTGGCCCTCGATCCGAACAACTCTCCCGCCTGGGAGCGTAGCGGCTCCCAGCCAGGCCATCCGGCCCTACAGTCCGCTGATCGTCAGGTGCCGCATCACACACCCGAACAACTGCAGCTACAGGAGGCTATACAGCAGAAGCAGTCGCGCAAGATGCCGCTCTTTGTCAAGGCAATGCCCATCTTTAAGTCACAGCATCAATCCGAGGTGTGTATCCCGCCAGAGAGAACCTAAAGGAATCTGAATTTACCCATGTTATCCATTATCTTGTTTGCAGGTGCGCTGTGGATGCTATTACAGCATTGCCAATGACACAAAGCAGAGCGGCAATGCGCGACGGCGGCACAAGCAGCTGAATTATCTGTGGATGTGCAGCAGCGATGGCACCTCCTCGCATGTCGCCATCTTTGCCCAGCATCCGCAGCAGGCGGGCAACTTGCGGGAGGCGGGTGCCTTCGACCTGCAGGAGACACAAGTGTCGGCACTGGAGTTCATCAAGGGGCTGGACCAGTGGAAGATGCAGCGCGAGGAGCCATCGGCCAGCCTGCTGGGCGATCTCATTTGGATGGGCACCGACAGCCGCAAGCTGTTGATCTACTCGGCCCGCAATCCGGAGCAGGAGGAGCAGCTCGGCAGCTACGCAGTGCCGGGCGCTGTGAAGCGAATTCTCTACCATTTCGATGCCATCTATGTGGCCCTCTCGAATGCCAGCGTCTTGATATATCGGCGCGCCTTCGACGGGGTCTGGCAGATGCGCGAACCGCAGCTGATTGCGCTGGGCGAGACGGGTTTCCCCGTGCCCAGTCTGCTGCCGATCAACATGAATATCTATGCCTCGTGCTCGAATCGGGTGTACGTGCTGAACGCCCTCAATGGGGAGCTGCAGCGCAGCTTCGAGGTGCAGCACGGCGCCACCCAGGAGGTGAATCTGATGGCCCACTCGGGCATCGGTCTGTGGATCTCGCTGAAGAACTCCACCGTGCTCTGTCTCTACCACACGGAGACGTTCAAGCATTTGCAGGACATCAACATTGCGTCCAGTGTGCTGCGGCACGATGGCCGCAAGGAGCAGCCGCTGAACAACACCTCTGTCTATGTGACCGCTCTGATGGCCTGCAAGGGTCTGCTCTGGGTGGGCACCAATGTGGGCATTGCCGTCACCATTCCGCTGCCCCGCCTCGAGGGTGTGCCCATCATCAGCGGCGGCATCAACATGTCTTGCCACGCGCACTTTGGGCCGATTACCTTCTTGCTGCCGCTCATCCCGAAGGTGTATCCCACCTACAAGCCGCCGCCCACCGGCCTCACTGTGCCGACAACAGTGCCCAGCATGGGCGATGACCTCCAGCTGCCGGCCATCGATGCCGATCCGAAGCTGGAGATCGACGATTGCTCTGTCGTGCTGCGGCGCGACCTAAACAAGTCCGCGGACAGCTCCTCGATTCCCTCGGGCTCCATAATGATCCGAGACCTGAGCACGGAGACTGCCGGTGGCGGCGGCGGAGGCGACTCGGCCGCTCCCTCGGCTGCCTCCTCTCCGCGCAGCTCCAAGCTGGACAAGCAGGGATCGCTGGACCAGAGCTTCACGGCAAAGATCCGGGCCTCGCTGGCCAATTCGCCGGCTTTCCATCGCAAGCGATTCCGCGATTTGGGCGCCGCCCAGGATGCCAGAATGTCCAAGACTCTACCCAGGGGACATGGCTCGACCGGCGGAGCAGCCGGAGGCGGTGCATCGGGCGCTTCGGGAAGCGCTGGAGGAGGTTCCGCCTCGGGCTCCCAGCATGGCGGGGAGCAGGGCTACTGCGATGTGTACGGACTGTATGGCAAGCTGATTTTCGTGAAGGAGGACTACGATGCCGAGGAGGGGACACAGGGCAATCTCATGGACATGATGTACGAGGGAATGCGTCGCTCCGATCCCGAATTGGCCGCCATACCCGGCAAGGTGTGCACCCTGGACCGGCGTCTGCGCATGAAGGCCTCGAGGCCTCGCTCCCTCGATCTATCCAACTGGTCCGTGGACTCTAAGTCCTCCAGCCTGTACACGTCGTCGGGCAGCGAGGAGAGCATGGGCATTCGGCTCTTTGGCGGCCGTTCGGTGTCCCGCAACAGCAGCAGCGCCAGCCACAAGACATCCGGCACTGGCAGCGATCTGGGCAACATTTCCGAGAACGGTCTCATGACCACAGCCGACATTCATCACCATCAGCAGCAGCAGCAGCAGTCCCAGGCACAGCACAGCACTCCCAACAAATCGGATAACACCTTGGGAGCTGGAGCATCATCTGGAGCAGGAACTTCTGCTGGAGCTGGACAGTCATCGGATAAGCCAGCGGCTGCCGTGGCCACACTGAAGCGCAAGCAGAAGCAAAATACAAAGCAGCAGCAGCAGCAGAGCGCCGATGGGCCCCGCACCGTGATCACCCTGATGGGGGGCCGCGGCTATTGGCGGCACTTGTGGCAGAGCCCGAACGCATCGCCCAGCCACAAGGGTGGCAGTGGTGGCAAGAATGACGCCTCTGGCTCCGGCTGTGGACCGAGCGGCTCCGGTAATGGTGGCGGCGGTGGGGGCTCCTCGCCGTCGAGTCCATCGCTGACGGCCAACTCCAACGATGCCCATATAGTGGTGTGGGAGAAGAAATTATAAAATCAGGAGTTGGTGTGCTGCTGCACCCTACAGCAGCAGCCCCACCAGCACCATCCGCCCCTCACGGAGCTGTGGCGCCGCGTGGGTGAGCAGCAGCAACAGCAGCAGCAGCAGCGGCGGGGACGCGGGCGTGTCCGCTTCCGCGGATCGTTTATGCAGCGTGATCGCAGTGCCGGCAATGAGGGGAATCTCCTACGTCCCAGCACCAGCACCGGCGGTGGATCCGGTGGCATACTGAGCTCCAGCCTGAAGCGGCTCACGAAGCTAAAGCGGGGCGGCAGTTTGAAGGAGTTTTAAATTGAAGCAACAGCAGCAGCAGCAGCAGCAGCATGGAATGGAACGGGACAGAGTCCTGCAACCACAACCATAAAAACAAACCCATAAACACATAACCACTAACCAACCAATTTTGGTGTACAATTTAGGCCAATATTAGAGGCACAAAGTCCGCGGCCACATATTACTTGTTTAGTAGAGTTGTTTTCGCGGGTCTCCCCCTGAAGCTTTGGGGATACCCCCCCCCCCCCCGGCCCCAACCAATATCGAATATATTTATTACAATATATAGCGAATCTTTCTGAACAAAACCCATCAGCCATTAAACCCCAGCCCCCCCAATCTCACCCTCTATCCATTATCTGCATTATCCTTTTGGTTTCCCTCTCTCGCGTATTCTCTTTAAACTCTAAAGTAGCCATACGAATGTGTTTTTTTTCTTAGTTTTTATATGCATATATTTAGTATATAACTCTGAATATCCAAATATACACGCGTGTTTTTTTTTTGTCGTTAGTCGTTTAAGATCTACATGTTATATAGCCACTATATAGAGTGCTAAGGAATATATATACAATTACAAATACATACACACACACACACATAAATCTACGATCTACAGATCCGCAGATCTAGGCTAAGAAGGGAGCGGCAAAGCCACCAGCTAAGGGAAATGAGAAATGTTGTCTGTACAAACAAATTGTTGATAAGATAGTAGCTTGAAAAGAAAAGTTAAAAATTATTAAACGCAAACGAAATGTAAGTTTCTATACGATATAAATATACATACACATATGTATAATATACGACACATATGAGTGTAGACTGGCCGGAATGTGTGAACGATAAAGAACAGTGCTATAGGAGATGATGGCAGAGAGTGTTTTTTGGAACTGAACTTTTTGATCTGGCGCAAGGCGGGAGGACTCTCCCTCGGTGAGAGTTGATGCGTTTTTTTTTTTTGTTTTTTTTGATCATATTATACTCTATATTGTTGTGTAGCGCACCGTGTACTGTGCTTTTGTCCTCTTGTCGTCAGTGTCGTAGTTTTGTTGAAATGAATACATACGTATTCGGAAGTATTTCCTTATACAATTTCATAACGAAATTATATCTTGGTCCCCCCCACTACTATGGGGTTATGGGACAGATACTCTTCTTATATGCATTGGGTGTGCACACGAACCACGGAAACGGCAACAATTTATATAACTCTATGTGTCCACGAATATTTGTAAACGTTTACAACAAACAAAACAAAAACAAATTGAACAAGTAAAAAACAAATGATTTTTTTTTTTTCAACTAAGGCACTTGGTAATAATATACAACAGAAAACAGAAAACAGAAAACAGAAAGGGGAGAAATATCTTAAATATATACAACACATATACAATACTTATATACGATTTACATATACAAATATACTTATATACAATACCTACATATATGAAACAAAAAGAATATACATGTGTGTTTAATAAAAACATATTCATCTGAAGAAAAGAAACAAAACCAAACGAGAATCGAAATTGAATCCGTTGAGTCCTGCACGATTATTGTTTTCTGGTTTTTTTTTTTTTTTGGTGAATATCTTTTGGATATACGATGGTATGTAAGTCAGGCATAATGAAATTATGTAACTTTTTTGATATCACACACATACATATGTGCGTTAACGCACCCCCCTATATGCATAGTAAAACATCTACATACATACATCAATATACGCGTATACGCGAAATATATTTACATAAATATCTACAAACACACACAACAAATATTGTATTTACCCCCCGATTTACACCGGGCAACATCGTATACGTATATAGATGGCATATTTATCAGCAAAACGAAACATCAATTGCTTTCTCTGTGTATTAACAACAACAATATTATACGAGTTACATATTTATGCATGCAACAAACAAAGAAAATGTATTAAAAATATTCAAAAAAAATATATAACATTGATGTGCATTTTTATTTACGGGTAGCATAGGGATAATGATACCTTTATTTGCCATATTCATTTGTGATCTATTGGCACTCTTAAATGCTTATATGCTTGGGTAAAATATCCTTGATTGGATTTTTAAAAGCTTCTGCCTAAGCCGGGAGAAGATCTTGAATGCCCATTTGTAGCTGTGAGTACAAAGCTGAAGCTGGAGAGTTTTTTTCGATGGCGTTTCAATGCAATTTTCCCGACTTGCCCGCACACATGCGAGGGTTTGACATAGGCGCGAATCCTGAGTCCGAGACAACACCTTGTGGCCTACAGCTGCATGAGTGCATGGCCATCGGCACTGTTTAAATTTTAAAATACGCTCGTAAAAGTGTGATATCACAGCAGTCTACACATGTAGACTATGCTCTAATCTAGTCTCTGAGAACTGGGTCATGATTGGTAGAAAACGCTTCCTCTGTGCGTGTCGAATATTTTCCATAACTCATTGACTACCAGATGTACATAAAAGTACATTCAAATTGTACATACATATGTAAGTAGCTTATAGGGGAGTGATTTGTAGAAAAACATATAGACACACATCTTTATTCGAATACAATAAATGACAAGTTGTTTGGTATAAAAGAAAGTGAGACAAAAAAAAGTTATATATATATATGTATACATATATGTAAGTAGAAGTAAGTGTAACTAGCGCCAAAAAACATTTCACAGTACAACAAAGAATCCTTCTCTCGTTCGCGCTCTCGCTCTCGCTCCTGCCTCTATCTATCTCTCTCCTCCTCTATCGGCGTCTCCTTTTCTATGGAAGGATACTACACGGACTCGTATATATGGCATGTGGGAAGCGGCGACGCCGTACAAATGCTTCGAGATTACAGATTCGATTACTACTTGAACACTCGCTGAAGGCGATTTGTGAGTCGGTGCGGTAGTGAGACTGCGGGCGGGGATGGAACTTAGATGCCGCGATAGGACCGATGTGCCAGGAAGGCACTGATAAAGTATAGAACGGCATTGACCAGTCCCAGGATAGCGGCCACCATGTAGCCGTCATGCTTGACGTCGCGCAGACGAATCAACAGGCAGATGGAGGAGGCCAGGATCAGGATGGCAGCGACACTGTGGTAGATCAGCTCCTGCAATAATAGAAACAATACGAACCCAATGAAAACATGGTAAAGATCAATGCAGGGTCTTGGCAGCACTCACGTAAATCGTCTTGGCGATGATGCCCCCCGTGCTGAGGGAGGTGAGGCAGGCGAGCAGTAAGCAGAATGTCCCTATCATAAACGTGGTGGCCATCAGAAAGTGGAACAGATCCTGCTGTCCAGAGTAAAAGTAGCTGCGGTATCCCTGATAGTTGTAGGCCAGAATGCCCACAATAGCAGCGCCAATGATCTGTTGAAAGACAGGACAGACACATTGTACACTCAATCCAATGAGATCCGATGCTTCATAATGGATAACTTACCAGCTCAAAGAGCTTGAGAATTCCCGGAAAGGACTTCAGGTAGCCCGTGTTGAGCACGATGTACGAGGTATTGGTGGTGCTGGTGGTGGTACGTGTAATGGTCACTGAGTGCGACATCTTGGCGTTGATTTCTCTCGGTGGTTTTTACTGGGGGTATCGGTTATGAGGTGGGGCCTGAAAATATTGCGTATACATAAGTATTTATCGATGCATTAATTATACATATTTGAAATACTATCCATATTGTATTGGTCTAATTAAATTTGTCATGTGCAAACAAATCTTTTAGATGGTAAATTATACCATCCAGATACTACTACTTCCCAATGGTCTGGTACTTTGACTTCTTGCACACTTCTTCTGTCGGCTTTCCTTCAGTTTTGGCCAATATTTATTTCTGTGGCAAACAAGATTTTTCCACCATTTACATAGCCAGTTCGTATGGACAGCTGTTACAGATCGATCGCCCTTGCCACGCCCATCGATCTGCACAGTTTCAGAATATTTTGGTATGTTTTTGCATGTGTGTGGATGTGGGTGTGGGTGTTTTTGTATATTTTTGGCCATACATTTGTTGTTGTTTTCGTTTTGGTTTTTGCTATTTTTTTCTGGTCTTTGTATAATTTTAAAATAATTTTCAATGCCGGCCTCGGCGAAAGCGCCAAAAGCGTTAATGAAACATCGCCAGTGGGGAGAATCGGAGAAAATGTATTTACTTGACACACAGACAACAACCATACACACTCTCCTTCTTCTCCTTCTCCTTCTCCTCCGCCTCGTTCTACTTCTCCTCCACCAGTTTTAAGGGGATTTGTGCACAGGGTGCGGGCATCTACTATATATTTCGGTCTAGTGGGAGTGGACACCGTGGATATTGCACATATGTACAACTGTATGTATGTATTTTCCGATGGGTGACGTCATAAACTTTATGGTCTGCTGCCTTTTGCTCGTTGGAAAAGCTGAGAAAAAGCTCCTAGAAATTGGGACACCCACACACATGCAACCTCAGTCGAGTGCCTTAGGGGCAAAGAAGGAGATGGACGAGTGTGGGCTACAAGGTGGGTTTACTGTTCCCAGAATAACCAGATAGTTCATAGGCAATCGAACATCACCTATACCGCAGAGTTTCTCTATTCGCAGGGATGTGTGTTTCGAATGACTCAAATGTCATTTGGGTTGGATGAGAAGACCTTGATTACAGACCTTCCTCAAGCTCTCAAAGCGACAATCCGCGGCGCATTAATCAAGGCAGGGACGGTGACGCCATCGCATCGAGATCGAGTGACGCAATAACTTACAGTACAGACTGGTCTGACGGGGGGCCCAGAACCAGAACCGGCCATGATGAGACCAGATGAGATGCTAATCGCATTATTCAATGCGCCAATTCGCAGAGGGAATGCGGCTGGTGGGGATGGTATATTATGGCATGGAATGGTCAAGGGGTGTGGCCGTGTCCATTTCAAAACATTTAGCCCAAAAACCATAAAGAAGAATGCTCGAATGTTGGAAGCATGTTGATTAGGGCACCAACGGATTTCCGCTTGGCAAACGAAATCAAAAGGGTCGGCGGGTAGAGCGGCATGAGAACAGCTGAGAACGCGCACGAATTGGGGCCTATGATATCATGTCCAAATTATGCATGCAACAACAGCAACAAGTTGTCGGTCGTGCCTAACAAATGAGTTGCCCAAATATCAGTCACTGCCACTGCCACTTTAAGTTATTTGCGTTTTCCGGAAATATCTTCAAATTGTTTGCGCCGACTAACGGTGGCTGCTGCTGCTATCGATTTGGCGATAACTCTCAATCAGTTTGTGGATGGGTGTTTTGTGGGTGTGGAGGGGGTAAAGATTGCTGATAACAGGAGTGGCAGCGGCGCTGCACCGAAGCGCTGAATCGTACTCATAGCATTCCGATTCGGTAAATGATATCATCGGACACACAGAAGCTCCACACCATGATGCAGTTTTATGGCAAACAACAAAATAATCGTAAAAAAAACAACAAAGTAATTTCAATTTAACTGAGTGCGGGAGGGGTGGAGGCTACGCCCCAGAAATTGCCGCGCATTTTTCAAATGTTTCCCCGAAAATATACTTCACTCCACTCGCATATGCACGGCCATATACACATCTACATATATCTTTCGATGGATGGATATATCTGGGTATACATAAATACTTATTGGGGGATCTTACTCTTACTTTTTGGATACTCGCTGTTCTGCGGGGGCTTTTCGAAATTTCCAATTTATTCTCGGGCTATGTGTTGGCGCGCGCACGTTGAAAACGAAACTGAAAAAGCGTTTCGCTTTTTTGCCAGAAAGCGAGCAGCCCCAGTGCCAGTCCCAGAGCGTCGCAGCCAACGCCGGCTGCGTCGTGTTCGAATGAAAACAAAATCAAGCAGAAGGCTAAAGGGGCAACTGCGACTCGACTGGACGTTGCCCAGTAGGAGGTACATGTGTACATATCATATGTAAGAAAATGCAGTCTAGTCCCTGAATCATTCTTACCTTTAACCGCCTTTAACTCCCACATTTAAACCTCCTTTGGGTTACGTTCCAGGCATTTCTATTCAAATTCCATTTGGGAAATCTCACCTGAGCGAGCCGCACATACATACATCCCGCCTTTCTCAACTACAGGGTATTCGTCTTGAGAACACAACAAGTTGGAAGGCGTCGACCGCATTGACTGACTGCCTGTCTATCGCTGACGCGCTGACGTCATGATGTCATCGTCGTGTAATCGTCGAACGCTCACCGTTTGCCGCTGGCGAGTCTGTCTGTCTGTCTGTTTGGTTGTCCTCCGGGGCCGGGGCCAACATTCCCAATAAGTAGTAGTTATGGTTTTCAATGCATTTGTCGGCCTTAAACGCGCCTCCGACATGCACTTCGCATTGTAACTGTTCCTTTATGTTCCCCCCACTCCACGCAGTGAGAGAGAGAGAGAGGAGTTGAGCGGACAATTGCACCTATTATTTTCATATGTACGAGCTTTCTCAGTCAGCCTTACCCGATTGCCAATGTGAGTGAGAGAGTGGGTGACGGAGAGAGTGGCCGTGTCAGTGAGAGTGGGTGAAGGCTCTGAAGCAAAGCGAGTGAGAGCAACAAGAGATGTGCTGTGGTGTGTGTGTGTTTGTGCGCTATGAGTAATGCAATGCCCGCGGCGCTAGTTCAAGGAAAACGCGTTGACGATGCGACACCCACTGGCCCCACCGCCAGGTAGCACTTATCAGGAGGGAGGGCGGTAGCCAAAATCTGCAATACAAAGAGAACAATTAAATGAGTAATCTAGCAAATGCATCCCTTGATGGATGTAGACAGTATAGGCCCCTCAGTAGGTTACCATGGACATTAGTCCAGCCGTTAAGGAAATGAAAAGCTTTTTTTGGTTCTCAAATGTTTTATTTCCATTGATCTCGCTGATGAATGTTTGACATGTGAATAGGCGCATGTATATGATGTATTGAATGTGTTTTTGCATATGTATGAGTGTGCTTTTTATGAGTGGCTGAATGTGAGCGCATTCCGATGTGGTGGGTGGGTTGTATGAGAGCTTGTGGTGGTGATGGTGTATTGTATGCTAAATGCATTTGCTTAGTACAATTATTGATCAAATCCTACTTTCAGTACAATTTTGTCTAACAAATCTTGTTTCGTCCTACATCCGTTTGTTTGTTTTATTCCTTTGTTCATTTTCACCTTTTGCTGCTCTGGCTGTTGCTGTGTGTGAGTGTCGTGTGTGGGAGCAATAATTAAGGCTAATTTATATTATATGTAATTGCTTTCGTTTTGGACTTCTTCCTATCGAGCGTTAGTTGAACTAGATCGATCGACAGTTTTTTTTTCGCTTTGTTGTTGTTTCTTTAAAGAATGTGTTGTTGTTGTGTTGTTGTCAATAGGGGAAACAATCTATTCGCCCTGTTCATTCTTTAGGTATGGCGGTATGGCATACGAAAAACTTGTATCAAAAAAAAATTAAACTCCGAGCGAGCAGCCAGCCAGCGCGCAAGGGCAGCGCTAGCGGCTTGGCATTTCTCATGTGATGCCATCCTGCTCTGTCTCGTGTGTGGTGTGCTGGTGTGTGATTGTATGTGTATATGTGTGTGTCTTCTATGTATTTTGCTGTGTGTGTGTACATATATGCGTGTCTTCCTTCCTTTCTTCTTGTTTTTGGATATTTCTGTTTCTGTTTCTGTTTTTGCCGCTACAACACATTCCCCTGCTCCAAAACTGACCTTTACCCTTAGTCGAGGCCATCGTCGACAAAGTCCGCCGAATCCTTTTTGGTCTTCGGCTCGCTGCTATCACTGGGCGTGTCTTTTTCCTCTTTCTCCTGGCCAAAGGCGGCTCCTGGGCCAAAGGGACCAGCTCCGTTTGGGTCGAAGCCCGGGAAAACCTGCTTCATCAAGTTGATGATCTTCGGGTTGGACACATACTTGGAAATGTTGGCCGGATTAGCAAGAATGTCCTGCATGGCGGCAGCCACCTCAGGGTCCTTCATTAGGCCCAGCATTTCGGCCATTTTAGGACCTCCGGACATGCCGCTTTCAGCGAAACCACCGGGAAAGCAGCCAGGAAAACCGTCAGGGAAGCCCCCAGCAGCTCCGCCTGTCGAACCAGCCGAGGCCTTTTGTTTATCCTGCTCTTTGCGTGCCTTATTCTGGGCACGCAGACGATCCTTAACTTTGCGCTCGGCCTGCTTGCGCTCCTGCTTGACACGATGCTGCTCGATCTTCTTTGCATTTGGGGTGACCTCGCGCAGCCACTCATCGGTCTCCTCGTCAAAGTCCAGCTTGCAAGCCTGGCGTAGATCCTTGGCGGCCTCCTCGAACTGGCCCAAAAGGCGATGGGCGCGACCACGGAACTTGTGGGCGGCCGCAGAGTCGCAGTTCAGCTCAAGGGCCTTATCGCAGTCACGGATGCAGGCATTGGGCTTCTTCAGCTTGAGGAAAGCCTGGCCGCGCTTTGCATAGTAGAAGGCATTGCCTGGATTCAGCTCAATGGCCTTGGTGTAGAGGCCGATAGCGTCCTCGAACTTTTGTTCACCGTAGGCCTTGGCGGCCTCGCCGCGCACATCACCGGCCTGTTCTATCTCCTCTTCGGTGACCTCTTTGGCAGAGTCGCCCATGGGCTGGGCCGGGTCAAGGTCTGGCTGTATAACGCCTAAGGAAAGTGTGAGAGGGAATTGGGTTAGAGAGAATGCAAGCTGGCAGGTCACGTGACTCTGCAAAAAAAATGCTGTGCCAAATTTTGACATTCGACATTTGCCTGGAACGGCTACGCACCTTCCATATCCAGCTCAACATCGGACTCGGACTCCGTTGCAGACTCGTCATTTTCGCTAGCATCGGAATCGATGCTGACTCCCTCGGAGTCTGGGGTCGAGACACCAGCACCGGCCGGTTTCGATTTGGCACCGGCATCGCCGCCGAATGGGCATTTTCTGGAAATTTCGATAAGCAACAACAAAAATGTATGTGCAAAATGTGCGAACATGTGCGAGAGGGGTGGGAGGGGGAAGCACAACTTACCCGCCTGCAGCGGCGTCGGGCATCTTGAAGTCGCCAGCCGGCACCTGGCCGCCAAACTTCTCAATAAAATCCTTGACAAATTTAAGCTGAGGCACATTCAGCACCGTAGGATTTGAGTCCACGAACTCAATGAAGCTCTTCAAATTCACGAGGTCATCCTTTTCCATCGGTGATGCCATTTTTCTTATTTTATTTATATTTTTTCAAGCACTTATTTTCCCAAGAATTTTACGATTTACTTTTTTTCTGCTCCTCAGTATGACAGCGGAGTTATCGATAAAATATACTGTCAGGGCCTCGTAGATAAACGAAAATATACCATAGCATCTTCAAAATATACCGTAGTCTTAAATGCCATTCCACGATTTTGATGTTCTATTTAATATTACCAGTTTGAAAAGACTTTCACCACTGAAACAATAATTTAATACGATTGAAGAATTAATTTTGCATATTATAAATACTAATTTTTATTTGTTTGTATACCTTATGACCCTATATTTTACAAATTTGTATTTCAATTCTTCATTCAAATCACCCCTTCTGGAAGCAAGGGACCTTTTTCTTTAGTATGTAAATGTATGTAACATGTAGAGATGTATGTTAACTGATGTCATTGAAAATGTTTGAAAAATAGCGCGCACAACAAAAGCGATAAAGAAATTCTATTGTTTTTCTGTAGAGAGGGAGAGGGAACGAACACATAAGTAAATATTATAATGTGCTCGGGAGTGCTTTGGGTGGCAGCTGACTTATCTATATGCCGATACCGACAGACCTTCAAAAATATACCAAAATATACTTTCTTATTTAAAAATATACCGTAAAATATACCGAAGTCTTAAATCATATTCCTCGATTTTGATGTTCTATTTTGATATTACTTTCCGATTGAAGAATCAATTTGGTATTACATTAAACGGTACAAATTTTGCACATATCGACTATATGAACGATATTGGCATTTTCAATTCTCGATTTCTACGTCTATCAATGTCAAGCAATAGTTGAACAGCCAGCCCGATGGTTAATCTATCGATGTGGTCGCAAATGAGTATGGAGCGGAGCGATGAACCAAATGACTCATCAATTTTGGCTACTGCCACCGCTCCCACTGGTTCTAGTTATTCGGAGTAACTGGTTCGCCATGTATCGCCACGCAAACTGGTTCCATCAATGAACAATGGCTCCAACGGAACCGTTTCATTCCTCATTAATTTTTTTTAAAAAACAAAAAAGTCTTTTAATCACTACCCTCCCCCTGCCCAACCACCACTAAGAATTTCGCAATCATTTTAGTATTTTTTTATTTTCAATGTTTCGTCTTTTGTTTTTTATTGTTTTTCGGTTTTTGCTTTTTGTTCTCTTTTGCTTTCGTATCTTTTCTCTTTTGTTGGGGAATTAATTTATTAATTACTTTTTTATGTTTTACTTATTGATTTAGTATCTTCCACTTCCACATCCACTTTCTATCTCTCTGTCTCAGTTGCTCTCTACGTGCTTTCTTTTGCTTGCCCTCCCTCTCTTTTTCTTTCGAGTTTCCTTCAGATCCCATGGGTGTGGTGTGGCGGTGGTGGTGGAGTCGTTTGGGGGAGAGTAGGATAAGGATGGCTGGAGTTTGCTGGTTGAATGGGACTCGGAAGCAGGGAACTGGGAGCAGAGGCGGTGGCGGTTGCTTTTTGGGGAGGGGTTCCTGTTCTGAATGCATTCTTCCTCCTTTCGTGTGTCTGCCTCCACCCTTTTTCGTTTAAATAATTTTTTAGCATAACTATTAAATAATTTTTATATATATATATATATATATATATATATGTATATATGTACACATATATGTATATGTATGTTTTTTTTTTGCTTTTACGTTTCTCTGCTCTTATTTTCTTTTGTCTCTTTCCGTTCAATTTAAGTTGTTTTTTATTTAATTATTATCATAAATATTATTTAATAAATTACTCAACAAATAATTCAATTGGTTTTCTGTTCTCCTCCAGTGATACATAATGCTTCTGCCGCCTTCATTCTTCTTACTTCGTGCCCTCCTTTCGTCTCTTGTTCCAATTCTCCTTCTCCTACCGCCCGTCCTTTCCTTTCCTTGGCTTTGTCTTTGATCTTGCTTTAAGTATATTTATTTTGATTCGTTTAGTACTATTTAAACACTTAGTAGGTATTTAATTTGTTTAAGCTTATGGCTTTTTCTCTGTCTGTCCGAAGCAAAAAACAAAAAACTCAAAACTAGTGGGGGAGGGAAAGGAAATAAAAAAAAAACATCTGCTTTACGGTTATATTTTTATGAAACATTTTGCTTGTTTATTTTCTCTGGTTCTGGTTTCTCTTTTTGCTTCTTCCTTTCGTTGGTTGTGTGTGTGTGTATGTGTGTGTGGATTGGCTGTGTTCTGGGCATCGAACGGATCGATCGGCATCGAAGCCCGTCGAGAGTCGATCCGTGGTAATAAAAAATAATGATAATGGTACGCCATATGCAATAATAATCATAATAATAATAATAGTCCATTTTAAATATTTATCATTTATAATTTAAAAATGTGCATTTTACAAATATATTATATAGATAGATTCGCGCTCTCTCCCACTCCAAAAGCTCCTTCTCCTGCCCCTGCTCATGATCCGCCTCCTCTGATCTGATTCTCACGTCACATCCGCTCTCTACAAATAAAATCAACACTCACACGCATGCAGTTGCAGTCATCAATCATCAGCTAAAAGCTAATGCCAACGTTCACGTACACAATCGGAAACAAATCGGCCATTATATAGTAGTCATCATATCGTATCATTATCGCATTTAGGGCAACAAAAAAAAAAGACTTACAAACTGATTGATTGGCTAAAATTAAAGGAAAGTACGTACATAACATATACAATTCGGGTCTGAAATGGTATTTCTGGTTTTTGCTTTGCAGCTTCTTCTCTTTTTATCTCCACCTTCTCTATAGAACGTTTTGTTCTACATATTTTTTGTGTTTTTTTTTGCGGGGTTCCTTTTTTTAAGTTTTAATTTTAATTAGGCATAAATTATTTATATAAATATTTACAATTCATTTTTTGATACTTTTTATGGAGTTTTTGTGGCTTCTACATATTCTGCCTTCTACTTTCTTTTCTGTTCTCCCTGCTATCCTACCCTTCTCTTCTCACACAATATTTCATATTCACTTTAGCGCTCTAAAAACTAATTTCTCTTTCAGCTCCGCTTCTCTTTGAAATCGTCCTCTATTTCTTCCTTTATTTTGCCCTTCGTTGCTTTAGGCCAAACAAAAAAAATTTACTTTCTCAAGGATCGCATATCTCTTCGTGGAAAGAAGGACTTGCTTTCTCTCGGTTTTGCAGAGCTTCTTTCTAGTTTTATGTGTGTGTTTTTGTGTGTGGTTTTTATATACCCTACACTCAAAGAGTTTGGGGGAAATATTATTTTTTTTGCTCTGGCTTTAGGCAGATTTCATATCGGTTTTACATACATATAGATCTATATATTATTGAAACATTTAGCTTGGTAGTTTTTGTTTTTGTTTTTTTGCTGTTTTTATATACTTTTTTCTTTCTTTTATATATATATTATAATTCTATTAATATGCCTTGGATATTAATATTTAATACAATTTTACGCATAGTGCATTACAAATATGGTTTAAAATTAAAAAAAAAAACATTTATATATATATATATATAATTTGTTTGTAATCATATTTATAATTGTTTAATAAAAACTATTACATTAGTTTATGGTTTAATTAGAAGTATCATTTTACTTTCTGATCGTGTTCACACTTTTCTGGATTTTTATTACTTTCCTAATTTATTTCTGGTATTCCCCCATCTTCATCTGTCTACCGTGGCTTCTGCTTTCTTTCTTTCTCTCACCTACTTTTCTGCGATTTCCCATTTCTCTTCTTTCTGTGGCCCTTTTTTATTTCCCAAACCTGAAATAAATAATAAAATGGGGTCCCCTCTGTCAATTTTTTTATGGTGGCTCAATTGAAAATTTTGGAATTGCACTCGATTTGGATTTTGTCTAAGTTTGTTTTCTTTTAGAGAGTAGGATATCTATATACAATATGTATATGGGGATGCGTTTTGGTTTTTTGAGGCGTGTAGTGGGTGTGGCATTTGCTCGATTAAATCAAATTCATTTCGGATTTTGATACAAAACAAACAAGAATATGATTTATAGGGATGATTCCAATTCTCGAAGGTAAGGAAAACACCCCCTATATATCTCATCCACAATTTGGATAATTAAAATCATTAACTAAGGTAAAAGAGTTTCAGTTATAGAGATGTTAAAATAAGGATTCAATTATGGCTTTAAAAGTTAAAGTTAAGGCATCAAAATAAACAGTCTGCGATGTCCGTCTGTCTGTCTGTCTGTCGGTGTGCTGTGTCTGTTCGTGTTATGTGATAATGTTTGATGGTAGAACAAACAAACAAAACCCAAAAAACAATGCAATCACTTGTCTCTGTCTGTCTCCTTTCCTTTTTTTCTGGTATTCTATTATCTTCTCTCCTCTCTTCTTCGATACTGTGGGCTTATGCTAATTTTCTATTTTCTTTTCTTTATTGGGGGGTCGGAGTTTTTTTTGTTTTTTTGGATTTGTGTATCATGTATTGTTACTATTTTGTAATACAAAGAAAAAATTGTCAACTCTCTTTCTTCTTGCTCGTTTCTCCTGTTGTGCCATCTCTTGGGAATCGTTTGACTTCTACACTCTTCTCTTTTCTCTGTGTGTTTGTGTATATTTTTGATGCCACCCTACTTACTAATTTACATTTATTATTAGCTTTTTTGTTTATTATAATTATATAGTAATTATTCTGATTGGTATTTTATAGTTAACAAAAAAAAAGTGTGTTTATAGCAGCCTTTATAAACAATCTTCCTCGCAAGCACTATGCTTGCCTCTCTCTCTCTCTCTCTCTCTATCTCTTTCTCGAATCCTTGATCGTCTCCTACTTTCCTTACTTATCCTCTCGCATTTTTCTGCTCTACTATTGTGCTCTTCCCATCTACTCCTTTAACTGCCTTCTTGTGGTTTCTAGCCAAGACTTTGCTTTGCTCTGCTTCGCTTTCTCCTTCTCTTCTGTTGTTTTCTGCACTGCTCTGCTCTGCTCTCTCGCTTTTGTCGGTTCTTGCTGCTTTCTTTCCTTCCCTTTCTTTTGTTTTTTGCTTTACGCTTGTTTATCACATTTAATATATCTATATATATATATATGTAG